TGACGCATTTGGCAACACTATGACCTCAAGCGAAGAAGACGAACTGAAGCTCGTGGCGGGCCGCGAAGCCGCCAGGAGAACTTATGCGCAGCCCAATCCTTCGAAATGGCAGCACCAAGCCGTCTTGCCCGTTGACCAGCCCGTCTTGAACTTGGCAAGGCCAGCGTGACAGTCGTATTTGGGAGATCCTTCCATGTGGATCTGTCCCCAATGCCAGTGGCCTCCATCGTTCTCCCACTTCCACTCCATGCCCTGGCCAGCCGCACCAGGCGGGAAGCCGGCACCTCCGGCTGCGCCTCCGGCCGCGCCTCCGTGGAAGACGTGGACCTCCGTGTGGGTGTGGAAGTGCCCAGCGCCGCCAGCAGCCCCGCCTCCTGCTGCTCCCTCACAGCCCATTTTCTGATTGGCGCAGCACCAGGTCTTCTTCGGCGCAGACCACCCGATGTGCCAATTCGCCAGACCGACATGGCAATCATATGGGAGACTGGCGGTGACGGCAGCGCCGCCTCCTGACACAGTCACAGCAACCCATGTCCAGTAGCCATTGACCTGCACGTGCTTCCAGACCATGCCCGCTCCCGGGTCGACAGCCGGAGGCTGTGCACCCTCGCAGCCCTTTCCCTTCACCGAGCAGCACCAATGCTTCTTCGGGGGAGACCTCAACCGTGACCCCACAGCCATCAGAGAAAAGAAAAAAACACACACAGAGAGAACACGTCTTCTATGTTAAGGCCGCGGCCATGCTCTGAAGAAGTTGTTGAGGGCGGCATCGCAATCAAAGGCCTCTGAAGTCGCCACGTGTACTTCGCAACCAGCAGCTTCGATGGTACAGCCTCTGCAAATGTCGCATTCCACCTGAACCTGGCTGTAGGCCAAAGCACAGGCATTGCTCCTGCCACTGAAGTGGTTCTCCTCGGCCCATGTAATGCGCTCCATGCAAACGGAAGTGTGCCCCCCATGGGTGCACGGTGCTTGGCAACCCAGTGGGGAAAGTGTGGTATGAGGGCAGCCTCTTTGGAAGTGGCCGCAGCAATATTGGCTCTTTTCATCAGACCAATCATCGGGCTCTCCGTGGTAGCAGTGGTGGTCAGCGCAGCCCTTCTCATGATGCTCGCAGCACCTGAGCTTGAACGGGCATGCACCCTTGAAACATCTAGTTACGCAAGCTGCCACTTTGAAAAGGGGCTGCGAACTTTGCATTGCCAGCTGTGCAGCCAGGTAGCCAGAGCTTTTTGGAGTCCGACCAACCATGCTCCCAATTGGAGTATCCGGCATCGCAATCGTAGATGGTGCCCGTTGCCTTCCCTGCTCCGGCGGCAGCAGCATGAATCGAGGCACCCATGCTGGCATGGATGTGCATGTGTCCTTTCCATGTGCCCTCGCATCCTCTGCTCTCATGAGCACAGCACCAGTCCTGCTTAGTCTTGGACCAGCCAAAATACCAGTTGGAGTAGCCCGCATGGCAATTGAAGTGTCTCTGCTCATGATGGCTGGTTTTGACGATCTTGTGATGCCTGATCACCACCTTCGGAGGGGATGGCACCGGCACGTCGATGTACTTGGTGTGCGTGACCACATTCAGGTGGTCCTCCTCATGGGTCCCTGGGCAACCACGGCTCTCCTTCCAGCAGCAATACTCCCTGTGCGGGGTTGACCACAAGTGCTTGTAGTCATGAAAGCCTTCCACGCAGTCGTACTCATGATGATGATCGTAGATGATGTGCGTCTTGTGGATGATCTTGGGTGGCTCGTGCACAACCTTCGGGACATACTTCTTCACCGCAACGGGCTGTTTCACGACCTTCGTGTCATAGACAACCTTGGGCACTTTCACAGGATGAGCCACAGGCACGTACTTGTAGTGGATGTGTGCCGGGGGCCTCTCCCCTCGCACCGGGACCGGCTCCTTCACCACTTTCGGTGGAAGTGGCCTTGAAGGCACCTTGATGTGCACAATTTTGGGCTTCGGCTCGGGCCCCCTGACCGTCACATAGTGGACCTTGGGCACCGTGACTGGAACTGCCTTGGTAACTGGGACATACTTGTCTACGTTCACCACCTTGGTTGGGCATGCGACGCTTTCAGCCCAACAGCACCATTTCTGATGCTTCGCGGACCAGGCTCGGTAGTTCATGGCATCAGTGGAGCAGTCAAAGTGGGTATGCGGTGAGTAGACTTTGTGATACACCACATGAGAAGGTCCAGGAACGGGGTATCCCACCACCTTGTCCCGATTTTGTGTGATGTAGTGGTGCTTGATGATGATCTGCTTCGGCGGCGGAGGTGCTCTTGTCGTGTATACGAACTCATCTGCCGCTGCGGCAGGACGATGCAATAGGAAGATCAGGAAGATACCGACCAGTAGCCTTGGCTCAAGGCCAACAACAGTCACAAGAGCACACATGCAACCCGAACCGGACGAAACGGGCAGCACCGAATGCAGCCGAGGGCACAGAAAGATCAGGCCGATGGCCACAATGCATGGCCAAGCATTGGTCGGGCGTTTCTCCGTCTTCACCTCCTTTTGAATGCTGCCCTTGCCGTGCCCAACAAACACGACATCCTCAGACGCGGAGGGGTCATGCTTTAAGAAACGTGCGTTTTGTTCAGCACAGGGGGGAAGGAAGAGAGCGAGAGAGAGAAAAGAGAGAGAGAGAGAGAGAGAGAGAGAGAGAGGGCAGCCCAAAAGTTTAGAAACAAAGGCAGGCGAGCAGCACTGACAGTCTCATAGGCGCCCCTCCCTTGGCCGACGTACGACCAGTGCTCTGATCGTTTCACCTCTCCGTCGATGGGATCATCGCAACACAACGCCATCACGGAAAAAGGGCCGAAAAGCGGAAGCTCTCACCTAAAATCGGTTGGGAACCGCGCTTGAAGGGTGCAGGGCTGCAGAGAGAAGGCCTCCGGAGCTCACGATTGGAGTCTGAACCGCACCTCACCGGACCTTCCCGGCCCATGCAATGACTATCTGAACCGTGGTTGCAGCATTGTGCAAGCTCTACGAGCCGGAGCTGGGCTGCCCACCTGTAGATGCCAAAGGCCATTCGGCTCAGAGGCACACCTTGAACACTCCTTGAACCTCCTGATCCTCATCTTCATATCAGGTGTCTCCACTTTGTCCGTCAGCTGCCCATGTCTCAGAACCGAGGCGCGCTGTGAATGAGGCCGTCTTCGGACTGCTGACAAGAACACGCATCGTGCCCTGACTTTTTCTCTCAGCTGGACGCCGGGACCTGAGTATCGACACAGCGGAGAGAGGCGAAGAGCATGACAAAACTGAAACTCTTGCAGTGCACACGTCTCACACTGCGCTGCCATCCTGGAATGACTGCAGAACAAAACCAGAAAGTCGACAAGGTTTCACCGGAGAGCACCACTGCGCCTGCGCCTTTACGACGGCGAGTTGTCAGGCTACAGTCTTGCTCGGAGCTAGTGTTAGGACTGGGCACCGACAACACCAAAACCCTGTCCATCCGAACGGACGCGGTCGGGGTGTACCCCTGGCCAAGCAAAGAGGGGATTCCCCTACAAAGCGTCGCGGTCAATCCCCAAAACGTGGGCGATGCGGTCGGGATGGACGTTACTACTGGCCAGGCATGGATGCGAGTTGGAGGTTACATGCAGGAATCGCAGAATGTAGAGGCCGGGAAACCGGCAGGGACGAGGATTCTGAGGTCTTACATAGGTGGAGCCCTAGACAAGAATGCAGAATCGTTCGAATCCCCTTGCTCGGGGCGATGCACTCATGACTGCGGTCATTGGCACGGCTGCACTGCTGGCCAGCTGCCTGTCACCGATAGGCTACACGCGCAGCAATCGCGCAGCGATGTACCACAGCTCAGCATTCAAACATCGGCACAGCAAGCAAGAAAAGCCTCTACTTGTACTCAAGTCACCCTCAGATCACCCACAAAGCAAGGGAAGGTGCCTCATTTCGGCTGCAAGCCTCCCAACCAGCGGATGACTGTGCTCAGAAGCGCATACGGCTCTCTCTCTCTCTCTCTACCAGGCTTGGGGTCGGGGCGAGTCCTCCCCTTCCCCCGCACGCGCACGCATTTGCTGGTCCTGGCAGGTTTTTAAGGTCTCATTGGGGGTTTCCCCGGTTGAGCTCGGCTGTACAAGCCTCTGCACCGGGAGTGCGTTCCTCGAACTACACGAACCGCTGCACACAGTTAGGACAAAGCAAACCCCCTGCAAGCAACCCCCTGCACTCCGGCGCTAACAGTCTGAGTTCCCGGCCTGGTCGAAGCACACACATCATGCCACACGATCACGGAACTCCTGTCTTAGGCCTCCCCCCTAGACTGTTTGCATGAGGCATGGTGGTATACTACCTGCTCTCCGCCCCCTGGTGGAATGCTAACCGACTATGCGCTCTCTGTCTTTCTTTCGCCAGGGCTGTGGGCAGCTCTCTCTCGCTCTCTCTCTCCAGGGCATGGGGACGGGTCAGCGTCCCCGGGCCAAAAGGCCCACCCAATTGTATTTATTGGGTATGCGGGAGTCAAGAACGAGTGCAAGTCATCATGACGGCTAGGGCCTAACATGTACGATAGCGAAGAGTTGATGACTATGCACTCTCATTGAACACATGCACAAGGCGTCACTTCAATTCCCCCTGTTGAGCTATAGTGTGGGCAGCTCCCCTGCTTTGCTGAAGAGACCTGGCCTGTCTGGCAGTGCCAAAGAGCACCTGGCCTGGCCACGACACCATTGGCAAGTGTGGGGTGCGCTTTGGGGTATTCCGGGCTTCGTGGCTGCCTCGTCCACTCCTAAACGAAGGCTCTTATTAATGCTGTTGGTTATGATGACTGTTTTATTATTCGGGAGGCAAGACCAGCCTGGAAGTCAGCAGATAGAAATGCCGAAGCAACGCTCTGCAAACCTGGCGCCGCGAATCCCATGGTACACGCTCGATGTGCAGGGGACGGCACCAGCAAGCCTTCTTTGGCCATGGATTTCAGCTCCACCTCTCTTGCCGCCTTCGATCACGCGCTGAGCTTTCAGACCGGCGGAGCCCTCATGACTCTTGGCAGCTCTAAGGCTGCCACACTTATCAGCGACTGAACCTGGCAAAATCTGGAAGACAACGACGCGACAGGGAAAAGTTTTTGGGGAGGCCCCCTCCCATGGTAGGAGGAAGGCCCGGGTCCCGGACCTCAGCGAAGCCTTTGGACAAAGTCTTGTGCAATTCGTCCAGGCGTTGGTCGTCGACGTGCCGCAAGTCCTGCCCACATCTCCACTCCAAGATGCTGACACTGCTGCGGAAGCTGTATGGCGGCATAATGCACAGACTATTTTTGCACGGAAAACTACATCGTGTCATTATATGCGTATCTCCAGCAAAACATGGGTCGCTACTCCTTGCGTGCATGGGTGCATGCAGGCAGGCATACATACGTCCATCAATCTCTGGCACTTGTCGATCACACGCATGTATGCGACGCATGTGTATGCAGGTGTGTAGGTATGCTTGCAGACTGCTTCCAGGGCAAACATCAAGACGAGGAGAAGTGGAACATAATTACATAGGTTGGGATAGATGAATAGCACATCTGTTGAGACCACGGCCGCCCCAGCGACGGCTTGCGTGCAAGTTGGCACTAGCAGCTTGCAAGCACGAGGCTTCGGCTGCAATGCTTTCTGTGAGGCATGCAGAGCTTCTTGCAAGCTTGTACCTACAAGCCCACCAGGCACGCTCCTCAGGTTCTATGCTTTTCACCATCGAAGCCATGACGCTTTCTCCTAGCCTACTCCGAGAGCCACCATCTTCGTCGGCAGGGAGATGATAGTGAGCTCCACAAGGAGACTTTCCAGAGTCATGCCAGCACAACCCATCGACAGATTCAGACCAGTGTCCTCAAAGCGCCATTTCTACTTACGCGGGTTCAGAAGGATTGGTGCAGTCACGGCAGGCCGAGACTCGGTTCGAAACGGCTCGTCTGCTTCTTCTTCCTCCTTTCCCTCCTCTATAAGGGCTCTATTTGGGTTCTTAGAGGTACTATAACGGTCCTTAGGGGGTTCTTGACAGTCTGAGACACGCAGGAAGATCGGATCGAGCGCCTGCATCCAGCGCAACTCCAGCTTGCCGGTCTTCGGCAGCTGCTTCGCCAACTCCTGAAGATCGCGAGACAAGCATGCAAAGGTTCGCTCAGCAGTCAGGTTTCAGTACGCCAGACACATGCGAAGAGAGACAGACATGAAGATGCCGATCCCACAAAGCACAGGCTCCGTCTCACAAGGGGGTTAAATTTAGGGTTCAAACACCAGGTATAGGGTTCGAAACAGGCACCCACCTGCAAGTGCTTCTTGGAAGCTTGCACCACGGCAAGCCTCGCCTTTCATGCAGGAGCCATGGGTGGTCACCCCTAAACTCTAAACCCTAAACCCTAAAGCCTAAACCCTGAACCCTAAACCCTAAGCCCTAAACCCTGAACCCTAAAACCCTAAACCCTAAACTCTAAACCGCCCCTGGCAAGGGAACGCATTGAGCTTTCGAGGCCTCCCGGAGCTGCAGCAACGCCTTGCCCAGCTCCTGCCAAAAAAACAAGAACTGGAAGAGCTCCTGCAGGGTTTAGGGATTTAGGGTTTAGGGTTTAGGGTGTGTAGACAGTGTGCGTGCGGTGGGTGCGCCTTTTACTTTTAGGAATAGGGGCTCACCCACTAATCGCGCGCTTGCGTCAGCATGTAGTCCCGCCCCAACCACCCCAACTATTCTCAATTAGGGTTTAGGGTTCACCCCCCAAACCCCCCTCAAGCGGGGCTTTCTTGCTCTCTGCTTCCCCTCGCAGCTCTGCAGAAAATGTGCGTTTCACAGCAAAACGGAGCTGAGATGTATTCCTGTCGGGTTGTGGGTCCTCGCGGCCTGTGCGGGCCGCTCGACGAGAAGCAAGGGTTCCCAACAAACACTTCGCCTCTCGCACACTGTCAGGGTTGCTCGAAAGCAGAGCACAAAGCAGGACGACTTTTTGAGAAGAGGCGGTGGCTTTTTGCCAAGGCGCATCTGGACAGGGGCAGGGCAGGGCCAGGCCAGGCAGGCCAGCACAGCAGGCCGGCAACCCTTTTTTGCGGGGTCGCCCCGGTCCCTGAAATCTGTCAGCCTAAACCACCAGGACGTCGCCCCCCTCACATTGGGTCAGGAGACCCCACACCCCTGGAATCTGCCAGGCTGGGGCCCCAGACCCCCCTGGAAAAAAAAAATGGTGCGGGATTTGGGGTCCTTCTTTATTGCCTAACGGCAAGAGGTCAATAGCGGTGCTGGGTCACTTCAGTCCTCGTATACCGGGAGGCTTTACCCTCCCTCACCGTTCTGACGAGACGCTCGGCCGGGGGCCTCGGTCGGAGCCTCGAGCGCCCATGCAAATGGTCAGCGGCGCGCTCGGCACTTTAGGGTTAGGGGGTTTAGGGTTTAGGGGTTTAGAGTTGAGGGTTGAGGGTTGAGGGTTTAGGGTTTAGGGTTTGGGGTTTAGGGTTTAGGTGTTTAGGGTTTGGGGGTTTAGGGTTTAGGGGTTTAGGGGTTTAGGGGTTTAGGGCTGAGGTGTTCAGGATTTAGGGCTTAGGGTCTAGGGGTTTAGGTTTTAGGGTTTAGGGGGTAGGGGTTTAGGATCCTCATAGGTACATGGGTAGTTCTCTAAATTAGGGTCCCAGAAGGACCCGAAAAAGAGACCCTAATTTATGCGAACTACCCACATTAGAGTATGTTATAGTATACAGTATATAGTATCTTATAGCATATTTTTCGCTATATTGTGGTATATTACAGTCTGTTATAGCATATGAATTTCCTATCAAGGCTTTTAAACAAGGGTGCTCTGGGGGCATGCAGTGGCTTCTCACATCTAGCAGTAGCTATTGTCTAGCCTGATGGTCTGGCTCCAGGACCCTAGATTCAACCCACTTTTTGGAGGCTCTTTTTGGTTAGAGCTTAGGGCTCTTTAAGTTTAGGGTTTAGGGTTTGGGGTTTAGGGTTTAGGGACAGGCATTGAGCTGAACCTTTCAATGCTCAGGGGTACACATGCTACGATGTGGGTAGAAACGGCATTCAGCTGCCGTCAATGTCGCATAAGCTGACTCATTTTCGAGGGCTTCTTACATGGGACTTTCCGAAAAGTTTGGTACCTTATTTCGGTGTCCTTATAATAAGGATCCTACTATAAAGGATACTATATTATGGTCCCCTATTTTCGGAAACCCCACATCTTCTAGCAGTATAGTCCTGCATCAAGTGGCTCAAGCTACGGCGCAACCAGCATAGCGCAGCGTCCTTTGCGGCACATGCACATCTCCGATCGACTGCGGCTTGCCAATAGGACAACTGGACCCTCTTCTGCATTTCCTGTACTTGGCACGATCGACTCTGTCATTGAAGTTCAACATCCTCTGAAGCAACAGCCTTCACCTTCGAATCCCTTCAGGAAGCCCCTAGATGATCTCGGATCTCTCTCCACTCATTATAAAAAAAAACTCGTATCTCTTTTGCTGCCTGCTTGAGAGGGAGCTCTCCACTGTAGCGTCCAAAGTTGCTAAGGCGGGCTCGCCGCCCGCTGCCGCGACTTTTTGGTAGGGCTCCAAAGCCTGGGACTCGCTGAGTTCGGGCCTTTTTGGGGCTTTTGGGGGGTCGAAGGGCTTCGGGCTCTTTTTGGGCTTAGGCCTTTATATTTCGGGTTTATGCAAGGGTCCTTCTTTTCGGTGTGCTTCTTGGGCTCGGTGATCGGTTCAGGGCGCGTCCAGCAGCTGAGTTGCAGGCCATGAGGAAGAAGCCTGAGCCAAAGAAGGGGATTCTGCTTGATAGGCTGTAGGGTTCAGGGTTTATGGTTTAGG